TGACAGTGTTAAAGACTCAAGGTGGTTAACTTTGTTTTATTAAGCTATTTTACAAAAGGATGACAATTTGAATATTAACATTCGTTAGATGAATCCTTTGTACAAAGTAAAGAAAAATGACATGTAACAATTTAACACCATATGAACTGTTATTAGGTGTGTAGTGTGTGATAATACTTCAAATGAAAACCATAGGATTGTGTAAATAAGCTATTTGACAATGTTATCCCATTCATAACCATTTCAGCTATTGCACATGTATTGATACTATAGTGGTTTGTGTGTTTAACATCCATCCTTAACGAAAAGGCATGTCACTGCAAAATGCAATCAAGAGAAAGGATAGTAGGCTATAGGCTTGTCTAACTAATTGTTGTGTGGTAGTGAATCTGATATGCAAAAGAGTTAAAGTGCAAGACAATCGGCAGTAACAAAACATTGATCCTTGTTCTGACTGCATAATGCATCAAGGTGAAGGTCTAAGGAAAGAGGCGATCTTGGCAAATTGTCACGGGATAGTTCCTGAACACATAGGCACACAGAATGTATTCAGTATGGCACTACTTCATGTTATATATATATACATTATCTTGTCTCATGTGAAGCTAAGCACAGAACCATTGATGCATCTCAGTCTTAAGTAGCTGCATCTGCATTGATGTGAAAATATAAGACAGAAGGAAGGCCACTTTAGAATTGAGATGAAGCCCAATAATGGACTAACGGAGTTTAACGTTAATCCTTATAGTCCAAGGACCTTACATCTTCTGTTTAGAAGCGAATTGGCTTGGCAGCCAAAACAACCAAATACTCCATCTAAACGTAAATAGGTTATAAATTGCGGGTACGGTTATAGAAACATAAAGCCCTCTTTCTGATCAGGTCAAACTAATTTCACAAATGGTTTTTAACCGGTTTTAACACAGTTGCAGCCGACAGTATCTTTCAGTGACAGTGTTAACACGTTTGTGGCATCCGTCTTCCGTTTACACAGGTGTTCGGAGACGCACAAAGCTAATTAGCACAGGTAGGTAGTAAAATCTGTCTTCAGTCTGTTTTCCGTAAACGCGCTGTAACATGGATATATGGCCGTGTGGGAACCCTAACCCTATAAAGGTGTGAAGTAATTAAACTTTTTGTTTTCTAAAAATGTTTTATCGCTGTACCGCAAGCGATGCGTGTTCAAGTTCAGACCGAGCGTCGGGACTCTTAAGAAAAGTACCCTGGCCAGAAGATACTATCGTCAATAGGTGCTAAAGGTAGCTAGTGTCTATGAATGGGATAATTTAAATGTATCCTATGTATGACATTCATTTCTCTCTGTAACATCCTGTTACATCCTATGGAACATGCCCTGTCTGCCTGAGATAAACAACAGACATATCACTCTGTTTGGAATGGTCTTGCATCAAGTTAGGGTTCCTGGGAAGTCACTGGAGGAGAGGCAGACTAGCTGTCATCTCGTCACATCCCTGCTTTAGTCTACTTGTCCCCTGTATGTTTCTGAACTGGGTGGAATATACCCGTGGGGTCCTGAATATACCACTTGTCCCAGACTTCTGTGAATGAAGAGGTCCTGGACCATGGTTTGGAATGTCCGTTCCAATGGAGGAGTTTGGCAGATTTCACAAACTGAGGAGAGTAGCGGTTTCCAGCACCAGTAGCCCCTGAAAATGGAGCAATACTGAATCTTTCTATGCAAACAAAGACCAACAACAGTTTGCTAGTTTCGAGGACAAACTGTACAGGGCAATGATGATACCAGTGGCGGCTGGCCGATAGAGGGCGCTAGGGCGCCGCCCCCTTAAATAAAATTATTTTACAAAATAAAAAAATAAAAAAATAAAAATAATAATAATAATAATAAAAACATCAGTATGTCAATATTTGTGTGTTTGAAATATGGAATGCACACAGTAATATGTGTAAGATATGATAGAAAATCATATTCGCAACCTTTCCTCTGCCTGTCAAACGCCTCGTCAGCTCTGGGCGATACAGAAAGTGCCCCGAGGAGGCGGGTCTACGTAGCAGTTAAGCCAATTGCTAATTTAAGATATGAATGTATGACATAAAATGTAGTCAATAAGCGATCTTAAATCGAATCCAAGGAGGGCGATTATTTTATCGCCCCAAGCTCGCCCCTGATAAAATAAGGACCGGGGTCCAGTGACGCCATTTTTACTAGACAACAATGGCGAACGCAAACGTTACTCCTCCAAGACCCAACCCTAACTCGGTGAAATCTCTCCTCCAAGATCCGTTTGAGAGGAGAACTTTGTCAGAGAAAGTTCGGGTGAAAGAGCTGGGCCCAGATCAACCTGACCTCTCAATCAGACAGCAGGCTAGCGAGAAAGGGAAGCAGTATATGCGCGGCTTCTCCCGTAGCTGGTACACCAGGAAGGCTTGGCTAGCTGGGTGCACTGATGCTAATGCTTTATTTTGCTTTCCGTGCTTGCTTTTTAAAACGACGGGGTCAGATTCAGCATGGACAGGTACCGGAGTGAGGGATATGAAGCACCTGTCAGAGAAGGTAAAGAAACATGAGAACACCAGGGCACACATGGACAACTCTGTAAAGCTAGCTGTATTAGGAAGGGTGAACATTGCTACGCAGCTGGATGACGGCCACAGGATTGCGGTGAGGAAACACAATGAGGAGGTGGATAAAAACAGGCACATTCTATCCAAAATTATCGATTGTGTGAAGTTCTGTGGGGCTTTTGAGTTGGCCTTGCGTGGGCACGAGGAGACTGACTCCTCAGACAACCCCGGCATTTTCCGGGGCTTAGTGGATTTTGTTGCCTCCCTCGACAGTGTGCTGGAGGAGCACCTGAAGACAGCTACCGTTTTTAAGGGCACGTCAAAGACGATACAGAACGAGCTGTTGGACTGTATGCTGTCAATGCTTAAGGATTACATCCTGGAGGAAGTAAAGAGTGCTGATTTTATCGCCATTCAAGCTGACGAGACGACTGACGTTTCCACCCACTGCCAGTTGGTGCTTGTGTGAGTGATTATCATAGAGCCGTCACAATTATATTTGTTTTAGTATTTTAAAAGGAAAGAGAAGACACAATCAGACGTTGATAATAATGCAGGAAAGTACTACACAGTTTGTAATAATTATTCAGGTGTCCACCAGGTCAATTTCTAGAAGAGGCCTAGTTGTTATTGAATATTAACTTTATTGCTAAGTGAACAGCAGAACAAAATGATGTTGCATCCCTCTCACAAATGTAATAGAAAAAGGCTTTAAAACGTAATAACATCAGTTAATTATGTACATCACAGGTTAAAAGCAGTTACTAGACATAGTTTGTGTGTATATACACACTGTCTGTCTGTCTGTCTGTCTATATATATATATATATATATATATATATATATATATATATATATATATATATAAAAGTCACTGGTTGTGTGTTGAGGGGGAATTACAGTGAGTTAAGAAGTCTGATTGCAAGTTATCAAATTAAACTTTATTTTTTGGACCCAGGGCCTCAATTCCCTCTTTGTGTGGGCACAGCGTATCTGACGAGCAGCAACAGCCCATCAAGCGACGGAGGATGCTGGGACCAGGAGAACAACAGAGGTTGGCTATAGAGGTAAGTTGTGATGTAATTGTCAGTGTTTCCCACCTAGAACTTTTTTCAGGCCTGGTAGTATGTAGCCAAAACCCTGAACAATCAGCACCTTGGTAATCATATACTTGAGTTGGACATAGGCATGTGTCAGTCAGGATCACTTGCATCAAAATAGCTTAATTGCAAATTAAAGCTGATGATGTATCTTTTACAGGTATGTGATACCATCCTGAGTCATGCCAAAGAGAGGTTCTCCTTCACCCAGCACCTCATCAGCGCAACACTATTGCACGGAGAGTTGTTCCCACAACACAGTGTGAAGTTCCCCGATACAGCGCTTGAAACAACCGTGGAGGCGTACCCCATGTTGAACAAGGCCAAGCTCAAAACCGAACTGTCCCTCATCTATGAGAACAGTGAGTTCAAGGCTTGTAGTGGTGCAGTGCCCCTGTACCAGTTCTTCATGGAGAACAACCTTCAGAGCACTTTCACAGAGACTGCCAGCCTCCTCAAGATCCTCATCACCACACCCATGACAACTGCTGAGTCAGAATGGTGCTTCTCTACACTGAAAAGGATCAAGACCTTCCTGAGAAACAGCATGACACAGGATCGCCTGAACGCTCTGGCCATGCTCTCCATGGAGAAGAAACTTGTCAGGGACATTCCTGACTTTAATCAAAGGGTCATTGAGAGGTTTGCCACTCAGAAGGACAGACGGGCAAAATTCCTGTACAAATAAGATGACAGACACACACACACAGAGCAGCTCTGGCCGCATGTTTCTTTGTATATAGTTGACCTTAGCATAAAAAATCCAGTTATATATGGTACTCTAGAAAGTCTTAATAGTGTCTTTGCTAATATTACTGTATATAGGTTGTTTTGTATCAATTAATTGTTGCAGTTCTGGAGCACATTAACAATTAGTCACATTTAGTATGATCATAAAATACTGTATGCTATTCTTCCAGTCAAAGGTTTGAGTTCATCCACTTGATATCCATTTCTATATTATACATCCTTTTATACAGTGTAAGATTTCCTATAAACTTTATAATAATTTCATGTTATTGTCCACTTTCCACTCTGTTCTGACAGCATGCCTGTTGCGTTGCCTGTTTACTACCAATGGTGAAAAGTTCACTTTAAATGCAAATGAAAGGCTTGGGTTTGTGTAATATGTTTTTGTGTAAGAATGCCTCAACTTTTTAATATTGGCATTAAATAATTACTGAATGTTTCACTGAGCACTGCTGTCCTGCAGTTTGTGTTAAAATATATCGCGATGGTTACAGGAAAAAAAAAGTATGGCACAGCCCCACCGAGAATATTTTTCACCAGCCGCCACTGGATGATACTCTAACAATAACCTTTATTTTTACTTTTCCATACAACATTACACCACTAAGTGTGCCAAGGCTGTCTGCAGCTCATCGTTAGGGAAACATGGAGACAGACAGACCATAGTAGTACAGTTCTTACCTAGGTGTCTGACGTGCCACATGGGGTCGATGCTGGAGTGGTGTTTGTAGAAGACAATGAGAAGGGGAGGTGTGGTGATACTCTCTGCCAATGTCTTACTGTACAGGTCCTCCCTGATAAAAAAAAAATACAATAAATGGAAATGAAAACTCAAAGGGAATGCTTTTCAATTGTCTACAATCTGTGGTGAGTGTCTATTTGGATTGATTTAATTCATGTACAGTTTAGATGTTTTATTTCAAAATAATCTCTGGAGTGCTGAGGGAATTCTGCCCCCGAGGCTGTCTGGCTCTCCTGGTGATTTACTGTGCGTTGAGCTCCATCCAGTGTTCCAGTTGGCTGGTGATGTTCTGATGCTTCCACTCCATCAGGTTGGCCACTATCATCACGGGGTTAAAGGAACACGTGTTGGCCCGCATGCCCAGCTTCTTGATGGCCTCCTTTTTAAAATCCAGGAAGCCAATATAGTTGTTCTAAAGGAATACATACTTGAGATAATTAAAACATTTACATTATTTGATATGGTACCAAGTACAAATATGAAGGGAAAAAATGCTTTCATACCAATATGTAAAATAAGACCCCCTCTGTTCATTCATTTATTATATGGAAGTTTTATTTCCTTAGTGTGTCTGTGTAGTCTACAGCTTGTATTGTGTACTTGGTTCCCAGCCCCTCGAACGATGCCCTTTGTGGATGCACAATCAAAGTCATCTGAAAACGCAGCTGCATGCCCTGAAATTAGGCTTGTGTGAAAAAGCTCTTCGATGTCCCCTGCAAATATATCATATGTCTAGTATTCATTAGAATCAAAAGTTTATTGGTTGCATACACAGATTTGCAGGTGTTATAGCAGGTGCAGAGAAATGCTTATGTTACTAGGGCCAACAGTGCAGTAGAATGTCAAGCAAATATAATAGAAATAATTTAAAAAATCAACAGAAGAAAATGTATTCACTTTCAGGAAAGAGATCATCTTACTGTGACAAACATGATCATGTTCTGTAAAGAGCTACCTCGTACAATGATGTCATTATCCAAATAAATGGCCTTTTCTGCATCTGGTATGAATACCGGCATATATACCCTGTAGCTCAGTTGGTAGAGCATGGCGCTTGCAACGCCAGGGTTGTGGGTTTGTTTCCCACGGGGGGCCAGTATAAAAAATGTATGCACTAACTGTAAGTCGCTCTGGATAAGAGCATCTGCTAAATGACTAAAATGTAAATGTAATATAAAATCTGGCAAAGGTCAACTTACACAAAAAGAGTAGTATTAGTATTAACAGTAGTATGTGTACAGTATTTAGGAATATCAACATCTATAACACTGATAATACATGTGGTCTGTCTCACCGGTTTCACAGAGTCTAGCTTCTAGGGATCTTTGGTAATCTTCCCATTGAGAAGCTTGGGCTCAAATATGATGATCTTGTGCTTGACATTGTTAAGCTGAGTCTTACTCATCCACAACCTGGGGATTGACATGGGTGTTGTGTCTGACAACATGTTGCTAATCATGCTGTGGAGGACAAGGAGATCCGCTGACACTGTACTTTGATTATAAAGGTTTATTCATAACAAAGGATTTCAGCGTCGATTTACAGATACCTGCAAGCATCTGGAGAACAGTGGACCCAAAAGAATATGTTGTTCTGACCTCCTTTGTCTTCACCAAGTATTTATAATCTTTACCAAGATAGGGGTGGTTTCCCCTACAGACCAATCCCATCACTCCACACAACAGACTTCCTCTGTTTTAGGGTACTCCTATAGAACTGCTCTCCAGATGTCTCCCTAGGCCAAATCAACATTCTCTAAGCTACCATTTGCAAACACTAACAACGTCATAAATTCCTTAGATACCACACTACCATTTGCAAACGCCCACAAAGTAATACATTCCCCAGATACCACATTACCATTTGCAAAGCTAACAAAGTCATAAATTCCTTAGATACCACATTACCATTTGCAAAGCTAACAAAGTCATAAATTCCTTAGGTACCACATTACCATTTGCAAAGCTAACAAAGTCATAAATTCCTTAGATACCACATTTCCCCCCTTCGAGACTAACTAAGTCTCGAAAACAAAAAGATTAGGATTATGACAAATAACAATTTCTCTTATTGAGTATTTTTAACAATAAACCAAAAATACATTTTTCTATGGAGTGTAAATACATTTCTATGAAATATGAACACATCTTTGTGGAGTGTGAGAGCGAAAAACCTGTCTGGCAGCTTTCTTTCCAAATATCCATCAATCAATCAAGACAGTAAAATTCTCTCACGGCCCCTCTGCCCCAGGCAACCACCTAAGTACTCCAGATCAATTCATAAATCTTTACCAATGCATTTTAAACTATGATGCACTTTGAATACACATGAAAGCCTCAGCAAACAAAATACAAACAAAAATGTCCACATTCAGGCTGGTCAACCCATCGGACCCTCCTGTGGATTCTCTCTATCCCTGCCTAGACCCAATATCCCTAAGCATCCACGAAATAAACAAAAACATCTGAGATCCCCACATGTACCCAATAACAGCAAATATCATTCTACAAAAATTAATACAGAAAGAATATGACACAAATTATGTATTACACATGCAAATATGTCTATATATCATTGCAGACACTGGAATGTAGTCCACTACACTTCATCTCCTCAGCAGTGTCGACTTCCAATGCATCGTTGATGATGGACTCTGAACGTTTCCACACCTTCCTTGTTCCACTTCCTCCAGTCCATTCATATTGTCCTTTCATATTGTCCATGTTTGAGTATTTGAATCCCCTCTACACATTCCCCCATATGCTTCTGGAAGAAAAGAAAATACCAAACAGTATCTTTTGCAAAACAACACATTCAAATTAAAACATCAATATCAACTAAAAATATAAAAATGATATATAAAATGAATCACATACCATTTCCCCACTTTGATTCATAACAAAATACTAAAATCACAATAATATTTAAAAACATTTGAAAAATAATCGGATATTCAAAATGGATATCTATCCATCAATACTCCATCCAGTCCCACTTGTTCATCTTCATCTAGATCAGTAACAGTTAACAACGGCAGCTGAGTGTTTTCTCCAGGCATCACAACTCCAACCCATCTCAATATCATAGCCTTCGCAAAGGTCAATAACAAAGTACAAAAGCAAAACATCACACACAGCGCTATCAGAGCTGCTACTAAAATCTGAACTATCACTGCTCCCGCTGGGCCTAACTGATCTTGCAACCAAGCCTTCGCTGACCATCCAGCTCCTTCAGATCTACCAAACGCATCCCTTATATTCTTCAATGCATCTATAACACTAGTGATATTATCGGAACTATCTGGGATCAAAGTATAACAATCATCCCCTGTCAAGTTCATAGCCAAGCATAAGCCACCTTGTTTTGCTAAAATATAGTCAAGAGCCATGTCATGTTTCAACAGCGTCAGTCTGTGACTTCTTTGAGTATTTGACAGAAGGTTAAACCCTCTTATCGTTTCATTTGCAAAACCCTGCAAAGTATAGGTAATATTATCAATGTGATCTGCCAAAAATGTTACACCATACCATGGAAAAAGTCCCAGTCCCCACTTCTCTCCTAGACTTATCCTCCAATGGTAGGCTTCCAGACTATGACATTTCGCCATGTCCCTTTTCACCCTATTTCCAAACCTAGACTCAGATTTATCTGTGTCCGGTACTTCCCCTCTTTTAATGGTAAAAACCTCATATGGAAGCTTCAACGTCGACATGTAACAACATCCTGTCCATCCATAGGGTAAGAATATATATGCTTTATCACCACAAACCCACCAAATATCTCTAAAATTCCCAATAGTCACATTACCAGGCAAAAGCTGATCTTTCACCATCAAAGTCCTGCTCTTCTTACTAACTGGAACATAAAAAGTTACATTATATTTCTCATTACTAACCTTATGTTCATGCTTACCCAAAGTCATCATATAATCATCACAATCTGATATTCCCATAAACATACCCTTTCCATCATATGTTTTATTTGAACAAAAACAGCTTTTAGCCCAAAGCACCTCCAATGCTTCAGGAATCGCTGTTAACTGATTTTCCTTCCCATCTAACAAATTCACATAGGGTAATTCATTTAACCAAGAACACTTAAACCTAGGCCTAAACAAATGTTTCGACAACGACATTATTGTATCTGTTAATGATTGTTGCTGATACAACAGCCATGATAAAGCATAAGATTGACACGTACTTGATAGAGGTTGAGCGACCGTCTCTAAGATGGAACCCCATGTGCCTGGTGCTGGAATTCTCAACAGACATCGACCCTCAAGATTCCTCACTGATCTTACAGAATGAGTTAACTGTTGGAACCAAAGATTCCTACCTGCCCATCCATCTTTAATTTTCAAAACAGAAGAATCAAATGCCTTCCATTTAGTTTCTCTCTTCCCTAACGAGCGGTATTGATCAGATATATCTTCTTGTCTTCCATTAAAATCAAAGAACTCATCCTGTACCTCCATGATAGTATTCTGCACTATTTCAGATGAATCTGCATCATTCTCTACTACCATCTGCTCTCCTATCTCAACACTATCCTTACTACCATTGACAGCACTCTCCATCCGTATCATAAACTCCTGAGTCACTCTTGCTACATCCTTTAGTTTCAGAAAAGTTGTTGTTGGTGTCTATGTCATATTTCCTATATTTGTTATTGCCGTCGTACCATTAACCTCTTTCAAAGTTACTATTAAAATCGTTGCGTTAGTTGATGTATTAACACCCTTAACTATTTCCAGTGGGAAAGTTACCGATATCCTCTGTGTATTATTTACTGTTGGAGTGGCTACTTTAATATACTTCTCCTGAACTCCATTGGTGACTGTGGAAGCTTCAACAGACTTCAAATCCTCCATCATAAGCGTCACTTCACGAATTACATAGCCTTTTAACCAATAATTCTTAACCGGAACAAATGTTAATGCTTGCACTAGATAAGTACACATATATTCTCCCTGATCTTTCCATGTAACATTACGCAAAATAAGTGAACAATCACTCATAACCCTCTTCCACTTCATATCGTTGTACAAAATATACGTCCTTTGACTAGGGGGCACTGCTTCTACTTCCGGTCCTGATAACAACACTTCTTCTCCATAATTATCTCTCCATGTGGGAGGAACGTCACCACCCCCACTCCATCTCTCACATCTACAAGGAAGATGAGCTGTACCACCCATCCTAACCCTAATGACAGTCTTTTCCTCTAAAATTGGTGCTGGAGCGATTGGCTCCCTTGTAATCAAATGTGATATATTTATAGCTTTAATAACTGTCAATGTTGAAAGAGTTGAATTGCTTCTCACTGTTGTTATAATAGGCTGAAGTGTTGATGTCATTGTCGTTGTTTCATCTATTTTCCCCAAAGCTTTGAAGTCTTTACTTGTATTTCCATCTATCACCACAAGTGTCACTACATTAACTCTCAGTCCCAACTCTAATCCCTCACTTTCAAACTGTTGATTATAAAAAATACATTTATAATCACCTTGATCTTCCTGCTGGGAATTGTAAATATAGATACTGCAATCACCCTCAATCTTCATTCTTCTCTTATCATTCAGCAACGCATACTTTCTCAATGCAACTGCTCCTAACAGATCTAAACTCCTGCCATATCGATCTTCCCACTGAACTCTAAATTTCCCTTCACCACTGTTCTCTCTCGTGCACTTACATGGGAGCTGAGCTGACTGTCCCAGAGTTACTTCAACCCTAGTTTTGGTAACGTTTTGGTCGGACTTTTCTCCTATCTGGTCTGGGCCTACTTTGTCTAACCGAATCACCAGCTTCTCCTGTAACAGAGTTGCCCTTGGTGATCTCCGCTGCTTCACATTCCACTGAAATATTCCCTGTTGTTTCTGGGACGTATTGAAAATCAATTTCCCCAAATCTCCTTTCCTTTCCCTCCATTGCAGAGTCATCTCTGGCATCATCAGAAGTGTAAACATTATCATCCATGCTATCCATAACATTGACAATCTCTCCTTCTTCCTGTTCTCCCCTATCTCCCTCCTTCTCTCTTGAGCCTTCAACATCCTCTCTCTCTGCGCGTGGCACCTCTTCTCCAGGCGCTTTAACACAATGTGACAAATGATACCACGATGGAGATCCTTTAACCTGGACAGCTGTTCCAGTACTACGAACAACTTCAAATGGTCCTTCACGACGTTCGTTATACCACTTCCTTCTAAATACCTTCACGAACACCTTGTCCCCAGGTTGCACTGTACTCCTTTTTTTCTCATCAAGCTCCTCCTCCACCTCTTCTTTTCTTTGCCTGTCAGAAACATATGTGGACAACTTTTTATGAAAATTGGCCATATATGTAACGTACGCTCTCATTTCATCTTCCAAAAGAGCCAAGCTTGGACCCTTTCCACTTGTTCGCAAACAAGGCGTAGGCATCCTTCTTCCTGTTACCAATTCATGGGGTGTCATACGTAGATCACGCAACTCACTTGAGCGACACACCATTAATGCTAAAGGAAGCGCCGCTATCCAGTTTAGACCTGTATGCTGACAAATTTTGACAATGCGATTTTTCAAGACACCGTTAATTTTTTCACAAATCCCCTTGACTTTGTGGGTGATAAACTGCTCCAAGACGTTGCTTAATTCCCAATTTTTGCAACATCAATTTCACTGATTTATCCACAAATTCCTTCCTATTTTCTGAGGATATTCGATCGGGTAATCCCCACCTGCTTATGACTTCTTTACACAAGAACTTGGCAACCGACTTAGCATCTTTTTGCTTGGTTGGACAGGCCTCCGGCCATCGTGAAAATCTATCTACAACCACCAACATGTATCTTTTCCCATCAACTGGTTTTATCATATCAACAAAGTCAATAACCAACTCACGCATAGGACCTCTCGGTGTAGGAATGTAACCAGGAAGAACCGTCACACCCCTGCGAACATTATTTTTCAGACAGATTGTGCACCTTCCTATTATATAGTCAATCTGTTCAAGCAAATATGGTGCCCAAAAACCATACTCCTTTGTGATCTTTCTCCTAACCTCCCCCATTGCAACATGAGCTAACCCATGTGCTTCCTGAATCATCAGACCTAAGAGGTCTAGAGGCGCTACTATCAACCCCTCATGGTTTCTCCAAAGACCAGTAGCATCTTTCACTGCCCCTCGGTCTAGCCACAGCTGTTTGTCAATAATAGAAGCAGCTTCCTGCATCAAAATCACATCCTTAAGCGTAATTTTTTCTTCCAAGTCCACTCCATGAGTGACCAGAAAAACTTTTCCCAATTTGTCCGCTCCTGTGACGGCTTTTACAGCTTCATCAGCAGCTTTGTTCCCTTGTGTGACTTTTGACACATCTGTTTTATGAGCTGCACACTTAGCTATCGCTATCTCTTTAGGCTTCATCATAGCATGCAACAGTTTCATTATATGCGCATGATGTTGTATCGGAGAACCATCCATTTTCTTAAACCCTCGACCCTTCCATACTGCCCCAAACAAATGACATACACTATGTGCATATGCTGAATCAGTGTATATCGTCACTCGCTTTCCTTCTGCTAACAAACATGCTTCTGTTAGCCCCACAAGTTCAGCAAGTTGTGCAGACGCAGGCTGTGGTATTACTTCAGCCTTTTCAACAACAAATCCAGTTCCTTTGGCTTTAACTACTGCATAGCCAGCACACAATTTATCTCCCACACGATAACAAGACCCATCAGTCCAATACTCCAGGTCTACCTCACGTAATGGAAAGGCTTGCAAATCTGATCTAAGCCTCGAATATTTCTCTGCTTCTTGGACACAATCATGTGGCTCACCATCCTCTAAAGTTGGCAAATTCTCGGCTGGATTTACCGTATCACACCTCACTAGGGTGACATCTTCCTGCTCTAAGAGCCTATGATAGTCTCTGAGCCTAGGCATAGTCAATGTATATTTCCCATAGTTCAGAAGATTTCTGAGACTATGATGGGTAAGAATTGTTACCGGGTAACCCATCATAACCGATGATGCTTTGTCATACATTGAACATACTCCCACCATTGCTCTATAGCACAGTGGTAACCCTAATTCTACTTCTGAATAAGCAGTAGAGTAGTAGGAAATAGGCTGAGGATTCATCCCTGTGCCTGTCGGCTGACAAAGAACTGCACATGCATATCTACCTCCAATAGAAGTAGACACATATAGCAAAAAGTTCTTAGAGTAATCTGGTAGTGTAAGTGCAGGTGCCTCCTGCAACCTCTGTTTGATCGTTTCAAATGCCACATGGCCTTCCTGTGTCCAGGAAAGATTGCTATGGAGTTGACCACTTCCAGTATCCCTAACCATAGCTCTCAAAGGTGCCATCAAACTAGTAGCCCTCACCCAAGCTGAGGAATAACCAGCAATACCAAGAAATGTCATCATCTCTCTGACAGTTCTAGGCTTCGGAGCCTTACGAATAGCTTCCAATTGACTGTCCGAAATGTCTCTGTGGCCATGCGTTATTTTCTGACCCAAATAAACAACCTTCTCCTGGCAATATTGCAGCTTTTTCTGTGAAACCGTATGCCCCTTTTCTGCCAATACCCGCAGCAATTTAATTGAGTCTCTATGACATGTTTCCTTATTTTGTGAGCAAATAATTATATCATCTACGTACTGAATGACAGTGCTTTGCAATATCTGATCTATCCCTACCAAATCATCCTTCAGTACTTTATTGAAAATATGAGGACTATGCCTGTACCCCTGTGGCAAACGACTGTACTCATAGAATTGTCCCTTATATGTGAACCCAAATAAACCCTGACTTTCTACACTAAGTGGAACACTAAAAAATGCACCACATAAGTCTAACACCGTAAAATGTGTCGCATTAGGAGGAACTTGGGCTAACAAGGTATGCGGATCTGGCACTTCTGCTGGAAAGTCAGTCACTACCTCATTCACTGCTCTCAAATCATGAACAACACGATAAGTTTCATCTGGTTTTTTCACAGGCCACAAAGGCGTGTTACTCCGAGGGTTTTTTGTTGTCCTTAAAACACCTGCTTTCGAAAGTTCTTCAATTTGTGGTTCAATCACTTCGATTGCTTCATCTTTCAATGGATACTGATTCTTCCAAGGAGGTCTGGCTCCTGGTCGAAGTTCAACTTTCACAGGTTGGGCTGATTTCACAAGTCCAATATCGGTACTGTGTTGAGACCACAAACCTTCTGGAACTTGTTGCAACATCTCCTCTTTCATAGGGTCTGAATTCATCTGCACACTGCAAATAGATTCATGTGTCATCCTTACAGCTTGTGGCTCTCCTTGTCCTTGAGCCGAAATCATTATTTTGAGAAATCGCTGATCTTCACTCCTCCAAATCGCCAAATTCTCTTTCATCGGTACGAAAACAGCTTTCTCTGCTTCTGTCATAATTTCTCCTATTTGCTTCTGCTCATAGCCTTCCGAAACCAACAAGGTCACATGTGGCACACTCTTCTCAATCTCAAATTCTTTATTCAGATAATCGTCTGTGTTTATCTTCATAGCTGCTCCTTGTGGTCCTAAAATAATGCAACATGAGCTGAGTTGAACTTTCTTTGGTTGATGACTCAACCATTCCCCTGAGTTCGATTGGGCAGCATTCTTCTCGCATCCGGCATATTTGCCACAATAAATTTCTCCCATATCTTAGCCTGATTCAAAAAATCTTCACTGAGATTTCCAATACAGAATACTGTAGACAAATCCATCTCTGTCATCATCAACAATTGGTAAACCTTTTCCTTTGGCACTTCTACCAGACAGCCGTCTGGTGTACATCTTATTGTACAGTTCAACTTACACAATGCATCTCTTCCCAACAATGCAATAGGTGTATGTTCTGATACCAGTATGGGTATTGTAATTTTTTGATTTTTATAGCAGAGCTCAATTGGTTCCGTAAGAGGAATCAGCTGTTTTACTCCCTCGAATCCGATTGTCCTAATGAGTTGATTGGACATAGGGAGATGTGTAGCATCTTCAGGCCGAACGCAGGTAAAAGCAGCTCCGCTATCCGCCATCAATTCCAATGGTCGGTTGTTTATTTTTACCTCAATTGTTGGATCTTTTTCCGGTCCTGATGCTACCAGCTGACACCCCCCTTTCGGATCTTCTGGGCACCCCTAGAATCCTTGCTCCGGGCCCCTATAGGGGTTCACCGGTCCTCCAGATGATCTTGACTGACCCCTGTATCTTCCTCTGAAATTCCCTCTGATGTTTCCTCCTGGCCCATTGCACTCACGGGCAAAGTGACCAACCTGTCCACAACTATAACACACTTCTGGAGATTGCTGGAAGTATGGCTTAAATCTTCCTCCTCTTCCTCTTTCTAAGCCTTCTCGTCCTCTTCCTCTCCAATTCTGTGTCTGTCCAGAAACTGGCTGTGGATATGAAACAACTGGTAACGCTATTGGTGGCTGGTACAATTGCGGTTGGAACTGGTCCGGTTGAAGCTGTGGCAGTGATTGTTGATTTGGTGCACACTGATTCTGCATAACCAAAGCTTGTTTCTTCTCCTTCTTATTCTCCACCAGTTGTATTTGATTGAGTTTTCTGAGAGTTTCTTGGTCCTGTTCTTTCTGGTTGTGTTCCTTTTTCCTGTACAGATCCACTTGATGGGCTATATGATCTGTATAAACGCCTTTTGTCATGCTTCCAAGTCCAACCACCTCTGCCAGTTTGCTCCTTACTGGTGAGGGCAGTCCCATCTGCAGTTTAGCTCTCAAAATTGACTGCTCAATTTGACTCACATCTGGATCATTTCCGGTAATATTTCTCCACACTTGATGGACTCTTGACACATAGGCTCTCGGATTTTCTTGTTGTCCTAGTGGATAAATCAGAATGTTGTCAGGATGCACATTTGTTGGAAACGTATCTTTCAGTGCTCTCCACAGACGATTCCTACTTGCAGCCAACAATTCAGGGTCCCCACATATCTATTGAGTCCAGCTCTCTGAAATATTTCTTCCATATCTGGAATCCCAAGGAGATTAGCCAAAAGTATCTTAATGTCTCCTATGGCTGACTGTGTTCCCACCGTAATTTCTTCCAATTTTGAAATCCAAGGATAGGCTCCATCTTGAAGAGTAGGCAGCTTCTCAAGTATATCTGACATATCGGTATTTTGCAAAGGCTTATATTCTAGGTTTTGTCCTCGAATGATCACTGGCATCATCTTCTTACTGGTGCCCTCTTTCCTTGGCCTTAATGTATACTTTTTCTCCAATTCTTGGGGTCCTTTTCTCAGCAGTTTTTTCTTCTGTATCTTCAGCTTCTCGAGTTGTTGTTCCAGTTCTCTTACTTCTTCTAAATTATTCGCTTTATCCAGGCATGATACGCATCGGTCTATATCTCTTTCTATTTCTTCTGTGCTAGTCATTGTAGGATAAAATACTCTTGAATATGAAGCACCTTTAATCTCAGAATCTTTATCGCTGTCTTCATCTTTGCTTTCATCAGAACTGGAATATCTTGTATTCTTCTTCTTCAAATATCCATCACCCCTTCTTTCCGCTCTGGCCAACCTCCGTCTGATCACAGGGTCATATCCACCCATGATCTCTTGTGAATCACTCTGATCATCATCATCATCATCATCTTCAAGTTTCATCCTCCTAAACCTCACTCCACCCTTAGTTTCCAGACATCTCGTTTTTTTCTTACTTTTGGAGTTTGGATTCATTTTTATGGTCGTTTCTGCTTGTCCTCTCTCTATTATTTGTTCATCTTCATCTCTGATGCAATAATCACCCTCCTGAATGATCACTGGAAGCTGAGGATAGACGTCCTTAAACTCTACTTCTTTCTCATAAGGTGGGGGTCTTTTTACTGAATCCGTATGTGAGAAAGGTGTACTGACTTCTGTCATTAGGTTTTCTGTCACCTTCACTGCTTTTACAATTTCCTCTATACCTTTGTTTCTTTTATCGTTGGTATCTTTCATCAGTTTTTTTCCTTCATTTTCAAACAGCTTAAGAACACCCAGCTCTCTTTGTCTCTTTTCTTTACGATGTTCCCTTTTTTTCCCTTTCTTTTGATCTGCCTTATGAATTGACAGAAGCACTTTCATTATGTTGATGACGTCAGGGTTAAGAGTCCCTTCCACTGGCCATGGTTGTTCAATGTCAGGCCAACGTTTATTCCATTTTCCAGATAACCTTGCAATACCATTAACTAAAGGATTACTATTCAACAGGTGTAATTACTTTCATAGTTTTGATGTCCCTTTTCCCCATTGTAACAACTATTTTATATTCCTTTATTGTGAATTATTTTATTATTTTAGACTATATAGCTTATGGTTTCCTCCCAATTTTTTATATTTGTTTATATTTTTTTTATTAAACAATTAAATAAAAATTAATCAATTAAAAAATGTATAATGAATTAAAAAAACAAAAAAAAGTATTATTTTTATTGATTTTTATTTTACCAAGTTATTGATTAGTGGCAATCTTACCACATCCGATCAGGAAAAGTAAAGGAAAGTAGTCAACTTCAGAGCAATCCAAAAAAGAAAGACCTATAATCCAGCAACACTACAGCACTCACAAACCAATTGCTTAATAAGCACCCAATTACCTTAATTTACAGAATAATGTCAGTACTCGATTTCCAACACAACTCTAATCAAACCAACTTATTCACAAAAATTCCAATATGCAATTACATCAATTGATCAGTCTGTTGCCAAGTCCCTGTCAAATTGTCATAACATCAAATATGCTAGGCACACAAAATATCCTGTATGGGAAGGTAAGTTTTGTAAATAGAACAGTACGGGCCTTAGTTTGACTTGATCCTGTTGCAGCAGACTCTGTCGCGTGATGTACACGTCAGCAATTCCTCTCTGTCTCTCTCTCTCCTCCTTCTTATCGTCTCTCATATGACAGAATAACAAAGAAACAGACAATAATGTAATAGTTTATGCACTCACTGAGTTATTTCAACCATTCAACATTCCTCTAGTCACATTCGCGCTAAGAAATAAGCAAACTTAACTCAGGAATAGTATAAATAGCTCAATAACATTTTATTTTATTTATTTATTTTTATTTTTAATCCGTCAACATATCTCTCATCTATCAATTCAATGGGTCTCAATCAAATAATTTCATCGTTAAACAGCCGATTTAACAAACAGAACACTATTAGTGTCTAAATCTCCCCATTCGTCTCCGTCTGCTCTGTCCGCTCTGTCAGCCCTACGCAACTCTAAACTCATAAAATCACACGCATGCATAGTACATTCACCAATACGATTTCAGAGTGGATGGAGCTCTCTCCCAGCTCTCTCCAAGCTAGACAACAGAAAGTAGACAGTCCCGCTGTACTTCCTCTCTTTTACCCCCCATAGACAAACAGTAACACTTAACAGAGCTCACAAACCAACATAAAACATTGAACACAAATCCTACTTAGAAGTTTCTTAACTTCCCTTTATCCTAATCTGCAGATTTATAGTTATTTCCTTATCTATTACAAAACATCTCTATACACTATTAAAACCTCCTCCCTGTAGGCTCATGATATTCTAATAGTTAGTAAACATTCTCTTTTTATAGAGACTCATACGTTTTTTAACCTTAGCGTCCTTCCAGGGGGCTCATATATAGTTAACAACTATTAACGTTCTCACCAACGGAGACTCATAAGATTTTTTAACCTTAACTTACGTATTTCCTTATAAAAACAAAAACCCCTATCCTCAACCAAAACATATATATGTATATATCTCTAACATAAATCTTATCCTAATATGAGTCGACACACAGTTTAAACACAACAGAGACGTCTTTATTTTATTATTTTTCTCTCTCTCTCTTTCATACATACACAGTTTTAAGCGGCTTATTCCATTCCTATGGACCCCTAAGGTAGCATGTAGCATGTTACCTCCATTGCGCCGTATTTTCCATTGTTCCTAAATTTAGGCTACCACGAGTTTGCGGATATTCAATGAGCGGTCACATCAAACATATACTTCGTCAACTATAAGATGAACGGTAACTTGCAATAGAATGTATATACCACAATCCCCAGTCCCCGGGACTGACCTAAACCCACCTAATGTGCTTTTAGGATTTTCGGCCCATCCTAATGATCGCCTCCTTAGAGGGCTTCCATAGATCCGCAATGTCCTAATTTGTATACATTTACCCTGGCCTTATTACTTCATTATATTATTCAATAGTTATCGACACTCCCCCCTGTTTGCGTTGCTTTCAGCGCAAACACATTTGAAATTTAGAACTGACTCCTATCCCACAGCAAAACAGCAAAATGCACACGAGTTTTTTTAAACGGTACATCTCTCCAGCAAACACCCACATAAGCCTACGAATTGACCCGCGCACAAAATTGTGAGAAATCTCACCTTATGAGCCGGCGTCTTGAGCGGGAGTCACTTTGCTGCTCATGAATGGAACACTGGAGAGACGCAGACCGTCCCAAACGTTCCTCGTCGCCATTTTGTTGTGTCTGAAAACATGTTGCTAATCATGCTGTGGAGGACAAGGAGATCCGCTGACACTGTACTTTGATTATAAAGGTTTATTCATAACAAAGGATTTCAGCGTCGATTTACAGATACCTGCAAGCATCTGGAGAACAGTGGACCCAAAAGAATATGTTGTTCTGACCTCCTTTGTCTTCACCAAGTATTTATAATCTTTACCAAGATAGGGGTGGTTTCCCCTACAGACCAATCCCATCACTCCACACAACAGACTTCCTCTGTTTTAGGGTACTCCTATAGAACTGCTCTCCAGATGTCTCCCTAGGCCAAATCAACATTCTCTAAGCTACCATTTGCAAACACTAACAACGTCATAAATTCCTTAGATACCACATTACCATTTGCAAAGCTAACAAAGTCATTAATTCCTTAGATACCACATGGGCATTAAAAACGCTAAAATAATTCAGCCTCAAACAAACAAGTCTCTATTGTGCTTTTTATTAACACCATGGCAGAGTTAACACGTTAATCATTCACTTGAGGTGATCCACAATGTTGAACACGATGTTGGCTTTGCTGTTCTGGTAGCCACTGTTCATGGCAGCCACCACAGCTTCCAGTATCTCCTCTGCAGCAGTAATGATCACTGGGATCTCCTCTCCAGTTCTCACAGGGTCCGGTATGAGCTCAGGAGAGAACTCAGACTCAAAGGGCAGAATCATACCTGGCACTACTGCATCTGTGAGAAGAACATTCAGTTCAATTCACTTCAGTTTAGATCAGGGCGATCTGTAATGCAGTCACTGGTATAAAACAACACCCAATACAGAATGCAATGCATACAAAACACATTATCCATCAGCACCCTAAATGTTATTTGAAGAAAACAGTGTTGAAAGAATAACCCCTCTTCCAGTACATAGGGGAACATTTACCTGAATTCTCTCTTCTAAGTAAGTCATTGAGATTTAATATATTCCATTGCACAATGATCAGAAATGCGACTGCCAGCAGCACAAGGATGACCTCATTTACTGAAAAATACACAGCAGGGAAAAGAAATGATGAGAACATCTGAAGAGAAGTGTGGCAGTCGCAAAAAAATAAAATAAAAAGTGTGGCACCTGCAACTCATTCACGGATCCCCTTTCAGCCAACACTGAACATTCCAATTAGAGGACTATATCAACAAAAACAAAACAATAAACTCCTCGAATTGTTTTGAGTTGTAACATTATAAGAACACTGAATGTAACAAAGTAACACCACTGACCTCTCCGTAATGACATCGGGCAGTCATATGTTGCTCTCCTTTGTTATCCTGCACAGAACGTACGAATGAAGCAAAATGTTATAATGATCCATACAGAAAACGTTTATTTATATAGTGATTTAACCACCGTCCCACAAATAAGCACATTAACAAATCCGATGGTTCCGCTATGATTTCTAAACCAAGCCAAATCGTTTCTTATTAAAACAATATAGACATGCAATCTGGAGTAAAGGAAAACGTGAGTATATGTTCTGTAACGTTAAGCAATGACAAAAAACACGCATGCTTTCTACTCACAGAACACAAAAGCAATTCACATCAAAAGCCAAAGTGCCAACTCAACACTCAAACTGGACAGTCTTATCTCCATCTCTTCATTCAAAAACTAAATCACGGACACTCTTACTGGCAGTTGTGGCTGCTTTGCGTGATGTATTGTTGTCTCTACCTTCTTGTGCTGCTACCATGTTGTTTTCATGTTGGGTTGCTACCTTGCTGTGTTGTCGTGTGTTGCTGCCAGGCTATGTTGTTGTCTTAGGTCTCTCTTTATGTAGTGTTGTCTCTCTTGTCGTGATGTGTGTTTGGTCCCTATATTTATATTACTTTTTTTTTTATCCCAGCCCCCGTCCCCGCAGGAGGCCTTTTGCTAGGCCGTCATTGTAAATAAGAATTTGTTCTTAACTAACTTGCCTAGTTAAATAAAACAAAATAAATAAACATCAACAAGTCTGTCGCCTGTTACCTTGAAGGGCCATAGTTGCCTACATATTTGCCTGTATTTAAATCGTAAAGTCTACCGTAGGATAATAATGAATTCCAATGGAGTTCACTATCACAACATCACTTTAACGTTGAATTCTATAAGTATTTAGATCTTTTTAAGTCGTCGAATGGGTGGGATTACTTGGTAAGAAGTCGAGAAGTAGTAACTGTGTGAACCTGCACAAGCCTCGCGCAGTTCTAATGCGCTTGAATGCATCAACAGTCTGGGGTCCTTCGAAATACTACGTATGCTTTTTGAAACCGGAAGTCTATCCAGACAAATTATATGCATTTTTCTTCTTTCATCTGATTATACAACGTAGCAAGATGTTGTCAATATTCAACTCCATTCCAACACACATGGTAAGAGTTTGAATGATTTGTGAACTCGCCGACTGTTACAAATAGCTACCAATTTAAAAACATTAGCTAGCTGCTACAAATATCAAGCTAGACCGATTCAATAATCATATTGAACATGGTTAAGACTAACGTTATGATAATTAGCTAGCTATTCATCACAACCATAAATCCGTTTCATATTAATTGTTTGGATGCTAGTCCCCTGTAACTCAGTTGGTAGAGCATGGCGCTTGCAACGCCAGGGTTGTGGGTTCGTTTCCCACGGGGGGCCAGTATGAAAATGTATGCACTCACTAACTGTAAGTCGCTCTGGATAAGAGCGTCTGCTAAATTACTAAAATGTAAATGATAGCCAGTTAGATGCCCATATGGCACCTCTATGAACCTGTCCTAGTAGTTGTAACCAAATGTATATATGCATCCCCAATCACAAAGCTTAGCTATAATAATATTCACAACCCTCTTTAAGGCACCACTTCGGATGAACCTTCCTGATTTGTTATGATTATTGACACTTCAGATATTAGTTTTCCAGTTGTGATCAATCATCTACCAGTCCTTCCTCAAAAATAAAACTTTGCAAATGGCTTGGTGATGTTATAGGATTATAAAGGACAGAAACTGGCGGAGCAGATCTTTCAAGGAATCATACTTGTCTCAGCGGTGAGTGGCCTGTCAAACATACATAATATAAATTGACTTTTCAGTATGTGTTGAGTTTTTACACTAGGCTAACCCCTTGCATTACCCTCCAGGTGATTGGATTCGCGTATGGCCTCATCATTGAACAGTTTGGGTGGACTGTGTACATAGTGTTAGGAGGTTTCGCTTTGTCTTGTTTGGTGAGTTAAGTTTCATTCCATCCTCCCTGTATATGTGTATTTTACTTTGTTTCAGTTGTGCCAAGCAGAAAATGTTGCACTTGTGCAAAGAGTGCACCCACAAACCCACGTTGACTCCAATCTGCATTTACGGGACCCAAACTTTTAACTCTCTTCTGATTTACATTTTACATCTCCTCACCATCTCTCCCTCATCCTATGTCTCCTCTCCCTCACCACCACCTTCTCGGTCTCAGCTGACCCTGCCCCCCTGGCCCATGTACAGACAGAACCCCCTCTCCTGGCAGCCAGCCCTATCAGAGACTACGGGAGAAACCCAGCAAAAGCCTCAGGAGAGTCTGAAGAAGAAGAAGCACAAGTAGATCATGAATGTTTGTACCAGTTTACCCAAGACACGTTTTGTAACTGAAAGTAACCATAATTGTGTGTCTGTACAATAAATCCCTGTTGAAGGAAGTTTAAAGGGAGCCTTTGTTAACAGTGAATTGTGAATCAGTGGTGGAATGTCTCATGTCAAATAAGCTAATTTCTGCTACTACATTGTTAATGTTGTAAATGGCTATTGTAGCTGTAAATGGCTGATTTTTAATGGAATATCTACATAGGCGAACAGAGGCCCATTATCAGCAACCATCAGTCCTGTGTTCCAATGGCACTTTGTGTTTGCTAATCCAAGTTTATCATTTTAAAAGGCTAATTGATCATTAGAAAACCCTTTTGCAATTATGTTAGCACAGCTGAAAACTGTTGTGCTGATTAAAGAAGCAATAAAACTGGCCTTCTTGAGACTAGTTGAGTATCTGGAGCATCAGCAATTGTGGGTTCGATTACAGGCTCAAAATGGCCAGAAACAAATAACTTTCTTCTGAAACTCGTCAGTCTATTCTTGTTCTGAGAAATGAAGGCTATTCCATGCGAGAAATTGCCAAGAAACTGAAGATCTCGTACAACGCTGTGTATTACTCCCTTCACAGAACAGCGCAAACTGTCTCTAACCAGAATAGAAAGAGGAGTGGGAGGCCCCGGTGCACAACTGAACAAGAGGACAAATACATTAGTGTCTAGTTTGAGAAACAGACGCCTCACAGGTCCTCAACTGGCAGCTTAATTAAATAGTACGCGCAAAACACCAGTCTCAACATCAACAGTGAAGAGGCAACTCCGGGATGCTGACCTAGGCAGAGTTGCAAAGAAAAAGCCATATCTCAGACTGGCCAATAAAAAGAAAAGATTAAGATGGGCAAAAGAAGAGACACTGGACTTTTTCTTTGCAACTCTGCCTAGAAGGTCAGCGTCTCGGAGTCGCCTCTTCACTGTTGACATTGAAACTGATGTTTGCTGATAATGGGCCTCTGTACGCCTATGTAGATATTCCATAAAAAATCTGCCATTTCCAGCTACAATAGCCATTTACAACATTAACAATGTCTACACTGTATTTCTGATCAATTTGATGTTATTTTAATGGACAAAAAATTTGATTTTCTTTTCGAAAAAACAAGGACATTTCTAAGTGACCCCAAACTTTTGAACGTAAGTGTATCTACACTACAGTACTTCTACATCCTGCAACTTATATTATACAATCAGCAAATTAAGGATTTCCTATGTAGTATTTATAGGTACATCTCTTGTTGCATTATAAATATTAACTAATTTTATTAGTATTTTACTACAATAATCCACCTATCTGACAGGTAGACACAGTAACAGAAGACTCACATTCATTGCATATTGTAACCTGTATGGAAAATTAGATGTGTTTTCTAAATTTGCATTTAAAGTGAGGTATAAAAATAGTCTACATGTACATAGAAATGGAGATATGATTGTCTATACAAAAAGTATTACATTGCTTGTGTGTACATGCATTGTTCATTAGCTGATCCTAACCCTTGAAAGAAACGTCCTCAAAGAATTTTAGCTGCCGCACCATCAAAGCATATGACTGGTACTTGTCCTCTCCCATCTGCTTCCGAAGACACAGCTGTGCGGAGAAAGACAAAAGAAAACAGATTACAGCCATGTCTAGCTAAAAGGACTCTGTATCATGGATGCCATTTTCAATCCTAACCTCTCGTTTGTCCTCATCGTCATCCTCCATTATGTCCAGGACTCTGTTCAACAGCTTCACCCCAAGTCCCTTCACCACATCTGTTTTCAGGTGCTCAATGGCTCTGCGGATCTTTGCCGGTCCAGATGTGGTGCCTTGTAAGAGGTGGATTGAATACAAAAAAAACATACGTTTCACAGATGTTCCATTTAAATCAATTTATTTCTTATGAAATAATAAATGGATTCCTCACTGATAAGCCAGTCACCAGATCATGTCGACAGAGCAATTTTGCATTGAAACATTCAAGTATGTAGACACCAGATAGAATCTGCTAGGGCAGGGTTTCCCAAACTCGGTCCTGGGCCTCCCCCTGGGTGTAAGTTTTTCCCTAGCGCTACACAGCTGATTTAAATAACCAACTCATCATCAAGCTTTGACTATTTGAATCAGCTGTGTTGTGCTAGGGCAAAAACCTAAATGTGCACCCAGGGGGGGCCCCAGGACCAAGTTTGGGAAACCCTGTGCTAGGGAAGCTCAGAGAGACTGTTTTGGCTAAGACTGACCGGTGGATAATTCACTGAAGTGGAACTCCTGCTCCTCTCTAGCTTTCCCATGCAGCACCAGGGTGTCCCTGTACTTCCTGTTCAGCTTAAACTCAGTCAGCGGAGTAGATCTCACACCATCCAGCTCACTAACAGTATCTTTGCCATCCATTCGCAATGTCTGGGTCATCATCTGAACCAGGTCCTGCATATCACTGGATTCACTCTTTCTGCAATGTAAAAAGAGAAGAAAATAACAATGTGGGGGGTAATGTGCTTCTATGGGTGTGGGGTGGTACTGCTCCCAAAGAGCCAGAATAAATTGGTTTTACCCCTCTTTGCAGTCCCCCTCTGAGTGATCGGTTGAGCTGGTGGAGGAGCTGCATTCGTCCTCGTCTGACAGGCGCCCCAAAAACCTGTCCTGCTACAGGAAAACACACCACTGTTATAGACTGAAGCCATATTTTGAACTTTTAGCTTACTGGAAGAGTAAGACAATGGGGATGAACCTATATTTACCTTGTTGGTTTCCTTGCCCATGTCAGACACAGAGCAAGTGACAGTGGAGTTCTGGAACTCTGGCTGCTTATTATGTAAAGAGGCAACATCATAAGACGCCCTTCTTACTGCATTGACAACTGTGGGAAAGAAGAATACTACAGTGAGCAATACTAAGCAGAACTACCGCTTTATTGTTCAAATAGGCAGACAATAGTAGACAAAATGTCCCTTGCTAATTCCTTCTGGTCCTATGGTCATATGAAATATTGACAACAGAGGTCGGAGGAGTAGCCTGGCGTACAACAGGGGTGTCAGGTAGCCTGGCGGTTAGGAGCATTGGGTCAGTAAACGAAAGGTTGCTGGATCGAATCCCCAAGCCGACAAGGTCGTTCTGCCCTCGAGCAAGGCAATTAACCCTAATTGCTCCAGGATTGACGTCAATAATGGCTGATCCCCTGGCTGTGACCATACTCTCCGAGGGTGTCTCAGGGGGAGTGGGATATGCAAAAAACACATTTCACACCTCACACTTGTGAAACAGGACTATATAAGTGCTCCCTAATTATTATTTACCTGGTTGGCTGGGGTTCTGCTGGGACTGCCTCAGTCTTCTCCTCTCCCTGGCTGACAGAAGGCGCTCCTGCTAGCAGTAGAGATGTTATTAACTTCACCTGCCTATGTAACTACTGTGTAAATACATAGTATTAGGGGCACTTATGAGTGGGACCAACACAATACACTTCTTTGCAATATACATTCCAGACCTCAAGGCGGTTTTTTCTAGCAGTAACACCAATCTACCTTGTTAATTGTTTAATCTATTGAGCTCACCTGTGGCAGTGGAGTGTTGCTGTCCTTGAAGGAGCTAACGGTTGTGGAGGAAGTTGTTATGGTGGCCCTCTTCTCTGTGTTTGTCCTGCTTCTCTTCTTCACCTCCACTACCAGTGCATTAACAGGAGGAGGAGGTAGAGGTCTAGGACCAGCTACTTTATTACACTGTAGAAGAACAAGCAAGGGATGAGGAGCCTTTGGTTCTAAAGTAGAGTTTGACAGCCCAAAGCCATGATAAAGTTCCTGACACTGTCCTCACCTTGTCCTGATCACTCTGTATCCGCCCCCTGTCCCTTTGTCTATGTTGGTGAGAGACAGAGGTTTCAGAGGAGGGGGTACACAGAGGGGGCGTGTCCTGCTCTGGGACTGGGGGGAGGGGCTCCACGTGACAGGGTGCCTACATACACCGATAAAACATAAACCAGTGTCAATTACCTCTAAAATTATGTGATATGTCAATAATCTCTGGAGTCTGGTAGAGTAGACTATACATGATCAAACGCAGGCAAAACCATGTTCTTACCACAGGAGGAAGGGGCTCTAATAGCTTTTCTGTGGATTCCAAGCTCTCCTTTAAAGACAATAACGCAGAGGCTTACTTCTACAACTCTCATTCACCAAATGTATACCGTATGTGCAGCACATGATAGTATCATTCCCCATCCACAAGCCAGGCACTTACTCTGACAACGGCAGTATGTTTGTGTGCAGGAACCTCCTTGAGAAGATTCCTTGTGTCATCCTTGTTCTCTATATTTACTACAAAGGTCTGTCCAGTGGATTCCACTTTGAGTTGTCCTGCAGACCTTAACTCAGGCAAGCTGGTAGAAACACCCAGACATATACTACGTTCAGTAGCTGGGCTCTCAATGACCACATCCTTGAGTAGCTCCATTGTGTCATCTTTATCGTCCGTGTTCACAGTTTTCTCTACAGAGGTTCTGACTCTGTCTCTGGGCTTTGGGGCACCCTGCATTACAGGTCCATTGGCGGTCTTCCTCTCCTCTTCCCTGGTACTGACACCTGATAGCAGCCTGCGAGGAGGCAGAGGGGGGGAGGGATCCTGTTTCCCTCCCTTCCGCTCCTCCATGGGCCTCTCACACAGAGCGTCATTATCTGCCCTTGCGTTGGACACGGTCTGGGGAGGATCCCCTCTCTGGGCGTTTGTCTCCTCTTCCTGTGTCTGGAGATCAATGTCAATGTTACTGATGGTTGCCAAGGACGCACCAGTGGTGTTGAGAATGTCTGGTGTAGGGGATTTGGGTGTTAGATGTGTCTGGGGTGGGGTGTCCTCTGTGATTCCATTACGTCCTTTGTGGTCCTGTGTGTTGATCTCTTCCTTCTATGAATGATAACAAAAAATAGAATAAACACACCGCAATTAAAAAAATCAAGACACTTGTGGGACTTGATGAGCATTATTTTTACTTTATGGCTGCTCTCTATAAAAAAAGATATAGATCTTATCCACTGTATTTTAGTACTGTTCTGTTAGCTGTTAACTCACCCTTTTCCCTCTGGTGTTTGGGTCTGGCTGGGGACATTGAGTGGGGCGCTCAGGCCTTGGTTGAGACAAAACCACAGATGCTGCACTATTGGGTCTGCTACTGCCACCAACCACTTTCTTTCTGGACTTGGCAGTTTTCCTGGAGTGAATCAAACAAACAAGACATCCAAGATGAGATCAATCCAACACACTTCATTGACTAACTATTGGTTCAACATACATAGACGAGAGAGAGAGAGGGTATTAGCCAGGTGCTACAACAGATGATGCCACCTACTCTTTGGTGGCCTCTAAAAACATGGCGATTTGTTGTTTGATGTAGGGCTGACGTAGGATGAGTTTGACATCAGGTCTGTCCTCTGGTCTCTTACACAGCATGCTCTTTATCAGAGCTCCCAGCTGAGGGTCGTACTTACAAGGCATCTGAGGTAACTGGAAATACATAGATCCATGAATCTAGTAGCAGACAAATAATCTGTCATCATGACTAATCATTTGGCCAAGATGTAAGGGACTGACCTTTCCTTCTACAATGCGGTAAACGAGTGAGTTCATGTCCTTGGCATTGAAGGCATGTTTCAGGGTGGACATCTCGTACACACAGCAGCCCAGCGCCCACACGTCAGACTGGGAATAAAAGGAGGTTTGAGTTAGCCGAGTGCAAACAAATAGGCCTAGTGCACACAACAGCATCTACCTCAGATTCCTTCTGGCTCAACATAACTGGTGCTTCAACAATGATGATCTCAAGCATGGATCTACTGTATGCACACAGTACCTTGTGGTTGTAGGGTTTGTTGGAGAACAGCTCCGGGCTCATGTAGTACGGTGTTCCTATTAAGGTGCTGGCCATGTCATTCTGATTCTCCAGAACCCTGGCGATGCCAAGGTCTCCTACTTTAATTATGTTAGTCTTGGTCAGGAAGATATTCTGGGTCTTTAGGTCCCGGTGCAAGATACGCTTCTCATGTAGATACTACAATTCAACAGAGAACATGATGTTGTCACTGTAACTCTCCTGTAATTAAGCCTCGGCCTCTGCCAAAGGTAATGGCAGGAGGCAGAGTAGATGTTGCAGCATTTGAATCAATCGGTATACAATATCTCAGCAATTATTTGATTAAATGCACTTTAATGTACCTGGAGGGCCATAGCTATCTGGACGAACCACTCCACCACCTGCCTTTCAGGCAGGAGTTCCCCCTTCTGTTGCTTGAGTCTATGGTAGAGGTCGCCTCCCTCGCAGAAGCCCATGACAATGTAGAGCTGGCAGTCTTCTCCTTCCCACGACTCCCTGTAAGTCACGATGTTTGGGTGTCGTAGTTGCGAGAGAAGCTGAGCCTCTTGTTCCGCGGCTCGCCGCTCACGTTTCGAGGACGTGGTCAAGTTCAACTTCTTTATGACATACTAAGAAAAATAGAAGAAATGGGTTCGACACATGCGCCACATGTTGCACTCTGCGAACGTTCTGTCTAGATGCATTAGTGGCGAACATTCTGTCTTGACAGTTTTGTCACACATGCGTCTAGATAGAATGTTCACAACAAATGCAGCAGTTCTTTATTTCTAAATGGCTAACCTTATTTGTAGTTCCCTTAGAATAGGCACTTTCAAAGTTGGTTGTTTAGCTTAGCTAGCTAACGTTACTTGCTAACTTGTAATATCTAAGATTCAGGAAAGGGAAGAAATGTATCAGAGTCGCCCAAACAACGCTATTATAACGTTATTGAAACCATGTTTTGAAGTGGATTGTTGTATTCTTACCTGTTTACGGTCTGTTTTGTGTTTCACCAGATTCACCTCTCCATAACTCCCCTTTCCAACAACTCTGATAAACATGTAATTATTCATGACTTCAAATCGTCCAATCTTTGTAAATGTTACCCCAAATTCAAAGGGTATAATCTAGCTACTTAATTGAAGAAAACCTGTGAATATCTCCCATTTTCTGCACATAATCGATCCAGATTTCTAACTTCCTTAGCGCAGGCTAATGTAACAACAAGCCGATTTTCAAAACAGGAAATCATCAGTAGCTTTTTCGTCACTAGGCAACTGGCACATCAACGTAGACGTTTGTTGGACGGGTGTACCGACCCGCAATATCCCCCCCACCCCCCTTATCCGACTAGGGCGAAAAAGAGAAACAACAATTTTCTGAATTCACATGCAAACAGCTGTTTCAGTCACATATGTTTTTACTGTTGTGGTATGGAAGTGTTCCCCGGATATTGCATAACGTTTTTTTGTGTGTGTGCCTTTCACACATCCTTTTAAAGCTCAATGGTGTCTGCCTTTCACACATCACGGATTTCTATTGCAATTGCATCGATATTCAGAAAATGCTTAATTACAAATAGTATTGTTTATAGTCATGCTCCCAACCTGTATTCAATAGCCTACATCGAGTCCCTATAATGTCATTGTTGGATGCATGCATGCAGTCTCATGAATGAATGGGGATTTGTATTTGAAAGAGGGATGGAAAAGAATGAGTCATCTATGAGGTAACGCCACTATCATATCATCCACTAGAGGGCAGTTGATACTAACAAAGTTGGTGGTGCAGTTTGTTTGATTGTCATCTTGCTTTAGTCATTGATAACTTATGTTGTCTATTCTTCTCACTCTGACATTGTGTATAGCCTATGGTGGCAATTCAGATTGGCCTACTGAATAAAATTCCAGTGGGAATGGATGTAGCCTACTTCTACGACATGTCATTATTGCAACACAGTAACACATGCCCCATCTAATGAAATATTAATTTGTTGGATGTCTTTAGTAGGCTTTATATAGCCTGTCTCTATCTATAACCTATTAACACTTTGACCAAACGATTTAGCTAATCATCTGGGACAATTTACCCGTCCAGGTAGCCTGGTGGATTGCTCCGTTCACCATTCTATTTAACTTAACATAATAACAAAAAATTGAATGGTGAAAGTAAAGATGAGTCCTTGGACGGAGAAGACACCTTTCATGGCAGAATGCCCAAAAAATAAAATCAACCAATTATGAAGCAGCATGCTTACCTGTGTGCTACAAACAGGTTGTTGATTGGTTGTTTGACAAGAATAGTCGGCCCCTTGTGTATTAGCCACTCCCTCCGCTCTATGCCCTGACGTCAGGAGAGTGCTGTGGTGTGTCGAATCCAGTTTTTCGGCGAGCGCGGTGAGTCCAAATTGGAGAAGCAGTGAAGAAAGAATCGACCTTTGAGATCGTGCAATTCACAGGTAAGAGTCTCTGTCGTGTTGACAGAGTGTGGACAAAATGAAAATGATTGACATAATCGAGATGTATTCGCAATATGGAAACATGCCTTAAACGCGAGAACAGTTTACTTTTCTGGTCTGTTTCAAATGTTAAACCATAGCCTAAATAGTTTATTATGTTTATAAATATAGTTTCCTAATAGTTGAAATTAATAATGTATGGAAAGTAATAGTTTAACGCAGCTGGTTGACATCCCAGACTGGAGCTAGGGTATAACTCGCCGGAGAGACAGACAGTGCCCCATCATATGGAGCGTTCATTCATAATATGCATGCTAATGTCTAACATTAATATTAATAATGCCCAAATACTGAAGAGTTGTGGGCATATTTGTTTATGGTACTCGAAGTGTATTTCTCAGTGGAGATCAGAGGGACTGATGGAGTGTGTGCAAACCAATATAATGAAGATAAACTGAAAGCAGTGTTTAATTTTCCATCAAAATTATTATTCACATTTGAGAGAGTAGGCCCCCATAATTGTATTATACTTATTGTACATTTTTTTCTCCCGTGTTTAGTGCCTACTGAAATGCTTGAGGTATTTTCTCTCTCTCTCTCTCTCTCTCTCTCTCTCTCTCTCTCTCTCTCTCTCTCTCTCTCTCTCTCTCTCTCTCTCTCACACATAATATTTTTTATAGAGTCTATGATATGGACACACACACACACACACACACACACACACACACACACACACACACACCAGACACGACACGCACACATACACACCACACCATCGCTTTCTTTCCACATGCCAGCTCGGAAGGAGAAGGTGGCTTATCAACTAATAAGCTCATTTTGAAAGGGATTTGCTTAGTGTCCTGGACACCGGTGCCCCAGATGAGCTTGTGGTTCAGATCAGGATGTTATCATGACAAGGAGAATGTGATATCTGTGTGTGGACAGTGAGATGTTACTGTAACACAGATACACTAATGTGGCAGCTCTCAATGTGGATTTATCAGTAAGGATAGCCCACATGTTCTTGACTTCTTGTCATAGGGGGTAAAGCTATGTCAATAAACCAAACATATAAAGGTGTGTTAACTACAGTGGATAAAAGGTACTGGGGATACACCATGTATTTGCACAATGCTTGTCTGGAATTACCATGTTAGCCTTGAGCGATTTTGAAAACTAAAAAATAATAATGACTTTTATAATTGACCATGTTTGTAACCTGATTTGTTTTCTTTTCGTTACTGACTGTCGTACTTAGTTACCATTGTTCCTCTGTGCACCTCTGTCCCTGTTATCTGTTGGGGGCCAATGTCATGCAACCTCCTCGGATCCCCCCCCCCCCCCCCCCCCCCCGCCAGGATAGTCCTGTCCAACTAGCTGTGTGTAATCAGGAAATGATCCCTATCGCTAAGTGAATGATGACATTGTACAATAAAGATAGATAAGCTGGAGGATCTTTATAGACAGATTGTACTCAGTATGAGCTTCAGAGAAATGGCCAGGATGTTTTTCGTTTGCATTGCATGTTACTGAGGGCTTATTAAGCAAGAGGGCTTGCCAATGGGTCTCCTCACTTCCTTTGTGTGTGTGTGTACGTGTGACTGTGTGTGTGTGTGGATGTGCGTGCGTGTGGCTGTGCGTGCGTGTGGCTGTCACTGTGTTTGTGTCTGTGTGTGTATGTGTGGTTCGAGCACATCTAAAAGGGGACTCCTTATCTCTTTTGCTGCAAGCCTGTGAGGTCACAGGTTTCAGAAAGTCCCAATTTGTCAAACTGCCTTCTCATACGTCAGCACTTCTCTGTATGTGTGTGTTTCTTCTGTCCACTGCGCAGCAATGGGAAACCAGTGAGTACAGTGTTTCTCTCAATAAGCTTAACAACGGTGAATGCTGCATGTCAAATAGCTCTTAGGAATGTGGTTATGGTTATATATTTCTATCCAAAAAGCCTGCACAATCCTGTTGCCTCCCGCATATATCGCTGGGCGTCTTGACGTTTCCTGATGAACGCAAACAATCTAATCAAACAGAAAAGCTTGTTCCTCTCTGAACCTTTTCGGGAGCTCTACCTGCATGTACTCCTCTTCAACTTCCCTTTATAACTTCTCCTATCTGCTCCTGTCTGCTCTAATGCAAGTCTCAGGCCCTACTGTTTTTATATGAAAGAATCCTTGCTTGTTTTAAGACACTTATCCCTTGCTCGTTTGGAACTTTTGTCTATTGTCTTTTGTCCCTTTGGAGAGCTCAACTTCAGCTTTTTAAGCCTGAGCTTGAATGGGTTAAGATGTACATTGTATTGTGGGTCTTGGTTAAATCTACAATTGTCTGTGTTCATTGGCCTGTCCTGTTCAACTGAGTTGCAGAAGTATCTCAAGCGTTTTGGAGCAATGCATATGCTGATACTGTATACTGTACCATAGCTGCAGGAAGTAGGGGTGCTGTAGGTGCTGCAGCACCCCCTGATGAATTGAAATAATGTTTTCAAAATTATATAATTACTCCTGTCTGAACACTGACTGAATTTGGGCAGCACACACACCAAATATCAAACAGCTTGTTGCCATGAGGCCATAGAAATATAATCCATAGAACCCAGCTAGCACATAACGTTCTGAGAACCATATGTTTCTTAGAGCTGGGTGAGAGCGTGGTTGTCCTATAGTTATTTTGCATACAACCTTCCCATATAGTTTTCTATAGGTTTCCTCATGGTTCTATTTAAGGTAATGTTCTCAAACTGTTCAGAGAACGTTAGGAAACAACGTTCTTCTATGGTAATTTCAGTACTGCATAACGTTTCCTCATGGTTCTATTTAAAGTCATGTTCTCAGAACGTTCAGAGAACGTTGAGAAACAACGTTCTTCTGTGGGAATTCCAGTACTTCATCATAACGTTTTCTGCAGGTTTCCCCATGGTTCAATTTATAGTCCTGTTCTCAGAACATTAAGAAAACGTTCTATAAAAAACATAAGAAAATATTAGTAACGTTCTTGAATGTTATTTAAAAACATATACATTCCGTTCTCAGCATCAACAAAACTCTCCCTATCCTCTATCTTGTTAAGTGTGTTCAGGTGTGTTGGCCGCACCCACTAATTGGCCACACCTGATTTTAATGAGTGCTAGTTTCCTTTGAAATAGGGTCTGTTTGAATAGACTAAAATTAACAGCTTTGTATGAGTACAAAAAACAAAAACATAGCATGCTAGCTCCATCCTGGTGGCGCAGTGGACTAATTCCATGGATAAAGAGCAGAAGATCATATGTTTGAATCTCACTGACGCCATGCCACAATAAAAAAAGAAATGTGTTTTGCATGATTAATGCCTAAGCAAATTAATTTCCATGTGTTCTATCTGTATTCAAAACAGTTAACCCAAACTAGCTAGCAGTGTTATTAAAAGTCTTATTTAAACATGTTCTCATAATGTTATTTAATTACCTGCAACTAACCTATAATTTCTGTTATCAGAATGTTAATAAAATCTCGCAGGAAAACTTTCAAGGAACCATAGAAAAATTTTCTCAGAACCTCACTGCAAACTAAAAATTAACATTCCCAAAACAAGCAAAATGTTCACTTCTGTTCTCTGAACGTTTAAAAAAACGTTCAGTCTTCAGGAAACTTATGGCTTCGTTCCCAGAACCAATGGGAAACCAAAAACATACGTTCCCACAACTTCCAAGGAACCAAATATGCTAGCTGGGAAGGGTTTTGGAACCTCACCCTCATAATTTGACTGATAAACTCATGGGTATGCTCCAAATGGCTGTCAGTCCTGACTTGAATGGGCACTTTAGTTCTATAGATTCTATTTCTATGGATTCTATTTCTCTTCG